AGCCCTCATCCTTTCCTTCCCTAAAGATCTCACACTACTGAGGAACGCTGCTATTCAGGACTGGACACCTCACTGCCATAAGCTCTGACTGCAGGAAATCCAACTGTTACAGATGCACCTGGGAGGAGCACTTACCCTGAACTTGGCAGGTCAGAGAAGACCTTGCAGAATTGGCACCACGTGCTATGATTGTTAGTTTACAATGACCCCACACTATGATGAACTATGGCATAGTTCTATAAACAGTTTGATTTAACTTACTTTAAATAGGCCTAACCAATACCTCTTCTCCAGAGTATTAGAGAAACCTTTAACCAGGACCGACTCAGGACATATTCAAACGTGTTCCATCTCTTCCTGTAGGCACCCTCCTCCATGTCGTTGCTCCGTCATTCACTTACTCAGCAAGCGCTTGCTGACAGGTGGGTGTGTGACCAGTGCTCTGCCAGGCATTGAAAATACAAAGAAGATCCAAGCACACTCATTTCCAGTGCTGAGGATGTTCCAGCCTAATGAGAGAAATCGATATTACACAATCACATAAGTAGACGTAGAAAGTCAAAATGTGATAACCCCTGTGAGAGAAAGAACGGAATGGTAGTTTAAAAAGAGCTCTTTCCATCACCTGCTCAGAGGTGGCCTTCCTGCGTGTGGAGCATTTGATCTGAGATCGCCTTCCATTTCTAATGTAAAGGTCTCTTTGAAAGGTCCTAACTTTATCCCAGCAGTTAGGTTACTAAAAATGCCTTATCCTAAGTGCAAAACATACATCCCCAACAGGGGTGCTATCACCCTCAGAGGGGCAAAAAATGGTTCTTGAAAAGGTGAAAAACATCTTACTCTTTTTATGTGTGAAGCACAGCTATACATACAGCACATAGACAAACAGTAGATGTGGTATTAAAATTTCATGGAAGAGGGCAGTGGTGAAAAGAAATGTCTAACAAGGCTCCTATTGGGAAGCAATAAAGAAAAAATGTTGAGAAACACTTGTTCATAATCTTTCACAGTCTACTCAACAGCTCCTAAAGAAATACTTGTTAAAGGCCAACTTTCAAGAAGGGAGATACAATGGTGGATGAGACAGACACAGGCCCTTAAATGTTAGTGGGCAAGAAGATGAAAAAACAAGCAAGAAAATCGAGAAAATAATTACAAATTGTGACAGACACTGTGAAAACAGTCACACACGCCCTGAAACAAGATAACGAGGAGGGACCTTTCTGACTGCAAGGTACGGGAGGCCCTTTCTGGAAGGGGCTCTGGCTGTAAGAACCAGGGTTCCTCTTGGTACACTTGCTCATTGATCTCCTACTCCCCACAGATCTGAGTGGGATGTGGGGGCAGCCCCTTGGGCTAATCTGTAAATTTCTATTCTTTTCCTGTTCAGAAGCCTCATGCCAACTCACGTGAAAGTCAAAAAGCCTCTGCCTGAGTGCTGACTCCTTGACCCTGTGACTCACCGTGTTGAGGGCAGCCCAGCAAACTCACGAAGCCGGCCTGAGTTAGGGGCTTCATGCAGAACCGAAGACCAAGTGAACTTGAGGCAATAAAGGGGTTTTCCATTTGAAAAATGAAAAAGAGTTATTTGAATACTAGCACTTCCACAGTGTGGTGTCTCTAGGGAGCCCGGGCACAGCGCTGGAGGCGTTTCTCCTTAGACACTCAGACTGTTAGCTCTTGACCCTGAACATCTGAAACTGCACAGCTGCTGGGACTGAGATTCAGACAGCATTTAGGAAAGCAGCCGCGTTCATGCCTAGTATTTTTGGAACCCAAGGCAAGATACGATATCTTCTTTCCTTTTTCTAATTCTTGCAGGTCTCCTCTGAGCAGAGGCCTCCCATCCTCTTCTTGGACAGGAGACCAGGCTCTGGGTGAGATGGACTTGTCCTGCCCTCGGCTGGGCCAGGTCTTCATGTTTCTGTGGCTGCTGCTGCTGACCCTGGGTGAGTAGATGGGCTGGACGGGGTTAGGGCAGTGGCCTCTCAGTTCCTAAAGTCAGCCGGTGAAAAGCCAAGAAACTTGTATTTCTGCTTCCGCTTGGGGTTCAGAGAAAGATAACAAGACATGGGGAGCACACAGAGCTCGATCCCCAGGACGACAGAAAGGACCCCAACAGAGCCATCAGTGCCAGACAGGTAGGTTGCCTTTGGTTTTTCACCCATTGCTTTTTTTCCATCTCAGGAAACTTAGAGTTTTCCTTCTGCCAAAGCACAAGTCCATGGCCCTCACTCCCTCTTAGAGCCTCAAACTAAATAATTTTTCAGACGAATAGTTATTTCTAAAATCTAGGAAAGTAAGGGAAGGTCTACTAAGAGGTATGGCTCCCTCTCTGGGGTTTTAAGCCAACATTTAACCAGAGATTGAAAACATAATGGGAATAATAGAAAGCCCAGGCAATGAAGGCAGGATCAGTCACCCCTCCGTGTTCCTGCCCGCCTCCGCCCTCTGAGCTGAGAGAGGCGAGGGAGGGCGTGAAGGCTAAAACTGCCAAGGGAGCGGTGGCAACGAGCTGAGCCAGGGCTGGGGACACAAGCTTGCACATCTGTAAAATATGTTAGGTGCTATTTTCTGTTGTTGTTTGGGGTCTGGGGGTGTGGAATGGGAGCCAAGAAATGGCAAGGAAAAAACAGAGGAAGCAGCTGCGGCTGTGTTGTCGGAAATGCTCTCAGAGAGCGCCTGATTGCAGGGATTTGAGAAACACTGCTCTGTGCTAATCTTTGAACTCAGACTCCCTCACAGCTCCTGGAAAAAACAGCCAGGTAAGTTTCTCCTTCTCTCTGCTCCTCCTGGTCTCTGGGCATTGGTCCCCTTGGCCTGCACAGCCTATACCAAGCCTTGTATGAGGGACATGGCAAGACCAGCAGCACTGCCACTCTGGGGTCACACCTGTTACTGTGCCGGGTGAACAGACCCTCCTCTGGCTGCCCAGTGTCCAGTCCTCCCCACACCCCCAGGAGGCCTCAGGGGAGAGAGGAAGGAAACGTTTGTAGAAGGAAGGGCAGAGGCAAGGGGCTGATGGCGGGAGCACCTCAGAACCGACCTCCCTATTCTCAAGTACCCCTCCCTCAGTGTGTCCAAGCCAGTGCTGCCACCAAAGAGCACAGAAACAGCCCCCATGCCTCAACTGCCACACCCAGCACTGGGCTGCAGCCCACACACGGCCTGGTCTCTCACGCAGCTCGTCCTCCGTTTGAATGCCTTACACCCCTCCGTTATTGACTGTGTCCCACTTTGCCTTCCCCACAATTGTGCCTCAACTAAGCATGGTTTAAAAGTAACAAAAGCAAAAAACTCTCGTTCATTCAATGTCAACAAGTAGAAAGTGATTTTCTATAGTCTAGAAACTGCATGTGAGGTGTATACATCCTGGTCGCACCTCTACCTTGGCAGGAATGTATGGGACAAGAGCATTTCAGCATCTGCCTGTCTTCTGAGGCTTCCACAGCGCTTGTCCAGCTGCAAAGCACCTCTCCTGAGCTTCTCTGGGCCCATCTCAAGAACCTGAGACTTGTTCCCTGTGACACCCCCTTGCCCACCTCCAGGCTGGGCCAAGGCCGGACCCTGTCCCAGGCCCTTCTCCCAGGGCTATCTGCTGCCTTTCCACCCCTGTCCTGACTGGGAATTAGCACAGGAACCTTCAGCTGCAGGCAGCCCCCGGGGCCCCCCATTCTGTGCCTCCCTTCCTTTGCCTTCACTTTGCATTTCCTATTGAGGGGCCCCTCCAAACACTGTACCTCTCCTTGTCCACCATGGTCCATGACCTTCAAAGGAAGGAGAGTGACCGTCGGATGCAGGGACTCCCAGCCCAGCCCAGGGAGATGCATCTTGGTATCATAATGGGGATTCATTGGAAAGAAAATCTTAAGAGATCCAAATAAAAACATCTAGATATTAGCAGTGCAAAACTCAAGGATCCTCCCTTCGTGATCCTGTACAAGTGGAATTTTCATCTGGTGAGGAAAAAAGGGAACGTCTAAAGTCATGCCACTGAGCTGAGTGTCCAAGGACCATGTTAAGGCCAGAAGCTTGGACAGAGCTGTAAAAAGGCAGAGTGGGGATGTCTGATGTGCTGACCTAGTGGGGAAAGTAAGGAGACAGGGCAGTAGCCCAGAGGCCAGCAGGCAAAAGGATCTGATCTGGGAAAGGTATAGGACGATATTCCTCTTTTATTTAAAGGCACGTGTGGAAATTTCTCAAGGATATTTTGTGGGAATTAGCTCATTCTCCAAGGGAAAGGAAGAACCAGGTTTGGGACCATTTAAGTGTTGGTGGAGGACGTTTGCAGGTGTGTGAGGGACCGTGGCTCTTCGGGATAACCATAGTATGCTCCACTGCTGTTTGTAGCCGGCTGAGCCTGCAGGCTTCACCTGTCTTTGAAGGAAATAAGGTGATTCTGGGATGTGAGGAGGAAAGGAAGGACACAGTAGTGAGAAGATTTACCACAGGGATGGAGAACGGCGTGGTGGTGGATCTAACTCAGGTTCCACCAAGCTAAATCCAGTCTCCAGCGGCAATGGCAAATATCATCGCACTGCTTCTAAGGAATTGTTTTTAACATCAGTGGAAGAAAGAAACTTCAAAACTTCTAAGTACCCGAGTTCAAGATAATGGCTACATGCCCATGGGCTACAGGGTTTGGCTGAAAGACCCTGGATTGACGCAAGATGCTCTTCAGTGGGGATTTCATGAAAAGCCTCTTACACCCCAGCCACAGTCAGGAGATGGTTCCAGCAGCCTGATCCTACAGGCGGTCCCCAGGTTGCAAAAGAGATGGGTTCTATAAGTTTGTTGTAAAGTCGAATTTGTATGTAAGTTAAAACAGGTACATTTGCCTATTACCTATGATAGCCCACATGTGCAAATGCAAGCCGAATGCCAGTCAGAAGTTTGTAACTTGGTGCTAAGAGCACAGGTACACCTCTCCGGGAGCTCCAAGCCTCACACTCTGGGATTGAGTTTGTTCTTTTCTTTAGAGCTGTTTTCGTGCCTGACAGCCAGCCCTCCTGGCCCACGGAGGGCCCATGACCCTGACCTGTGAGACCCAGTAGCCCTGGTCCATCCACAGAGGTCACAGGTCCAGCTCCAGTTCTGCTTCCTCAGAGATAGCCAGGCCCTGGGATCAGGCTGGAACAGCTCCCAAGAGCTCCAGGTCCCCACTGGTGCAAGGCAAAGATGGTGATTCACAGTATTGTGCTAATAAGAACAAGCCTGAGAGCCCAGATACAAGTGCAGAGGGAGCATCTGAGGGGCTGTGTGTCCAGATGCAGAGCTGGGGTGAGGAGAGCAGAACAATACTATCCCAGACGGTGGACAAAACAGAGAGGGACATCCTGATACCCGGCATCCTTCTCTGTCCAGGCTTGGCATTGGTCTGATGGCCCGAGAACAGCCTCTTCCACCTAAACGCTAGCCAGTAATAGCAGTTATTGATCGCTTACGGAGTGGCCGACACTATGGGTTACGGAGATGGGCAGGGTCTGTTCTCCATGGGTCAGCAGACAACCAGGACTTCAGATGACCACTTACTGTCTTTAGAGATCCTTGGGGAGCTTTCATTTTTTTGACGTAACTCACGTCAGAAAAGGGAAAGTGTATAAGAACTGGAATAGTTGAAGAGGAATGTGGGGATACGGAAATAAGGCTGCGGAAGTCTTGAAAGATGGGAGGAGGGTTTGGATTCTGAGTAAATTTCCAGATAGAAGATTTCTACTGTTCTCGCTTACTCTGCTTCATCGGTGCATCAAGAATTCCTTAGAGATAAATTTTCATCAACTGTGGCTGCAGCCAACACCAAGTTTAGGAAGATCTTGGACCTGGTGGCATATTCCGCAATGATAGGGATTTCAGGATTGTGGACGGATGTCGCTCCCTTTATAATAATATGCGCAAGTGATTTCTTATTTCCTGCTTTGGAACTCTGCCTATTACATCTGCTGCTCCTGCCTATTCATGGCAGCTCCAGCCTTCTCCTTGATTTTAAGGTCCCTGCTGTCAGTACCCTCACATGCCATCTGTGTCCTCTCAGAGGTCCCTGTGTCTGCTGTGACTCTAGAGATCCAGCCCTCTGGAAGGCAGCTGATTGAAGGAGAAAAGTTGATCCTTACCTGCTCAGTAGCCAAGTACCCGACAGTAGCCAAGTCGTCTGTCACTTTCTCCTGGCACAGAGAGGGAACAGGAAGTCTGGGGGTGAAGACCCAGCGTTCCTCATCAGCAGAGCTGCAGGTCCCCCCTGTGGCAGGGAGATACTACTGTTCAGCGGACAAATCCTGCGGCCCCCTCATCAGCAACAAGATCACAGTCACCACAAGAAGTAAGTTCCCTCTGCTCAGCCTTGGTTCACCAGCCAGGGTTGAGGTTCTCTGAGCTCCACGAGGATCTTCTAAAGGAGGGGGAAAAGCACAGAACAACATGCTTTGTGAAGATTTAAGAGCTATCTAAGCAATGGCAAGATGAGAAACTGAGTTAAGATGCCTTAGTCCTGCTAGGCATGGTGTGAGGCCTGAAACCAAGGTGGGTGGATTACTGGAGCTCATGAGTTTGAGACCAGCCTGAGCAAAAGTGAGACCACATGTCTATTAAAAATAGAAAACTAGCTAGGTGTTATGACAGGTGTCTGTAGTCCCAGCTACTTGGGAGGCTGAGGCAAGAGGATTGCTTTACCCAAAATTTGAGGTTGCTGTGAGCTATGACACTACAGCACTCAATTCAGGGCAACAGAGTGAGGCTCTGCCTCAAAAAAAAAAAAAAAAGATGCTTTACTCCTCATCAGGAGGCCTGAGTGACTGCACAGGACTGCTTCTTCTGCTTTGGGAGAAATGCTTTTATTATTAGATGAGGAAAATGTCAGTGAGAACAGAAGGGATCAAGGGGTGTGTCTGCTTTGGGGTTCCCTGCAAGGGGGTGTGAATCTGTCACAGCATCAAATCCTTCTCTGACAACGCTTCTATCTCCCTCAGTTCCAGCGTCCCACCCTATCCTCACCCTCAGGGCACCCCGGGCCCAGACTGTGGTGGGGGACAAGGTGGAGCTTCACTGTGAAGCCCTGAGAGGCTCTCCCCCAATCCTGTATCAGTTGTATCACGAGGACGTCACCCTGGGGAACGGCTCGGCCCCCTCTGGAGGAGGAGTGTCCTTCTTTCTCACTCTGACCACCAACCATTCTGGATACTACTTCTGTGAGGCCAACAACGGCCTTGGGCCCCAGCGCAGCCAGAGAGTGAGTCTCAATGTCACAGGTGAGCAGGATATTTTCAGAGCAGGTGATACCAGCAGACTCTGTCGTCTCCATGGGGCTGTGTGCCAGGTGACATCCTGGTAGACTTCCCACTTCCTCTGCCCCCACCTTGAGCTGGAGTTCTTCCTAATGACCGCACAGCCACTTAACTCAGACCGTTCCTTCATTTCCTCTGTCACTGTCATCAGTAGCCACACACTGCACTCATTCTTCTAGGAGAGGCACAAAGATGTTCCTAATACTAGACAGGTGGCGGTTTGGCAGTGACCGACAGAGGAGCATGGTGGAGAAGGCCTTATTTCTGAATTCCTTCGCCCAGGAATGAATGAACAGTTCATTCTTAGCCACTTTTTCTGCCCCCACCTCGATTCAATCCAAATTCCTGCCTGACTCCCTGGATCATCAAGTAAAGTGGTTCTCCTCACGGGTATTTCCAGCCATCAGAGCAGCAGTGCCCTTTCATGGCCTCCAGATTCTACTGGCCTATTATTTAGCCTTCACTTTTCCCAGATGCCTTCTGACTGGGGTTGCATTTAATCTGATGTTCCTCCTATCCCCTAACAAAAATTTTCTCCACCAGGGGCAGCAAGGCATCTTGTATTCCCCGCATCTAGCCCTTCTTGAGAATGTGCTCAGCCATCCAGGAGAGACCCCCAGTCCCAAAGCCACTGTGGTTATTCCAAAGCACCCATCATTTGGAGGGTGGGAAAGGGTAAGGGACACAGAAGGAGGAGGCAGAACAAAAGAGAGATGGCAGCGACTCCCAGTGACTCAAACCTTTATGTTCTCTGATGTTGCCATGGTCTCTCTTTATTCTCCAAAGATTCTAAACTATTAGGCCTCTTACGATATTTTGGTTGATAATTATCCTTTCTATGGGCACACCTGTATTACAACTCAAGGAGGTATTAGAACCTGCGAGTGCCAAACAGTGTGCTAAAACTGAGATTTCTGTCTTGAACAAGAAAATATCTATTTGGGTGACCTCAAACAGGTCTCCTTACTGGTCTCACCCTTAGTCTCCTCACTTACCGAATAATTGAGCCAAGATACAAAAATTCTTGATCCTGGCCAAGCGAGGTGGCTCATGACTATAATCCTAGCACTCTGGGAGGCCAAGGTGGGTGGATCACCTGAGTTCAGAAGTTCAAGACCAGCCTAAGCTACAGTGAGACTCCATCTCTCAAAAATGGCTAGGCGTTGTGGCAGGCACCTATAGTCCCAGCTACTTGGGAGGCTAAGGCAAGAAGATCACTTGAGCCCAAGAGTTTGAGATTGCTGTGAGCTATGATGTCATAAGATTCTGTCTCATAAAAACCCAAAAATTTTTGATCCAACATCACTTTTAGTACAAGTATTGAACATGCATCCCTTGTTCCTGTTTATTAATTATATACACAGACTACTGAACTAACTTAATATGCACATTGCAAAACAGGGAAATATACATTAAGTAAGAATAAAAACAATACTTAAAATTTTTGGTTTTAGAATATCTGACTAAAATCATAATTGAATGTGCTCAATTTATTTTGAAATTCTTAGTTTGCTTTTGGTGGTGCAGTCATTTGAAGTTTGGTTCTGAGTGTGGCTTACTCCAGCTGGTTTCAGTATATAATCTGTTATTGCTTCAAAAGTTACCTTGCCGATACGGCTGGATCCAAGTAGAAACAAAGCATCACTTTGCTCTTTCAAGTGCATGATTCTAATTTTTTAATCTCATACACCAATTATGCACAGATTCTCATTGAAATCTGGCAAGTAAGTTTATGTTTTCCTTCACATCAATTAGTTATTTTTCCAAAGTAGGTGGGGAGTGCTGCATGTTTGAATCTATAGCAAATGTGTTCAGGCTTTAGAAGATTCAGAAACCAGTGGCAACATTTTCTTTCCAAGGATTTTTAAGGGTGCAGATATAAATGTTTAAAGTTGAAATATTTGCTTTTTAATAAACAGTAATAAAACCGCATATAAATATATATACATATATATTTAATATATACCTCATCACATTTACTTAAGTCTTAAGACATTTATACTCTATACTTAATAGATCCGACATGTACCCTTGCATTATGCACCATAGGGGTGATCCCACCACTCACCCTCCCTTGATCTGACCTCCCCCTCTCCTTCCTCCTTCATCCTGGGCCATAGTTGTGATCTATTCTTCATATGAACGTGTGAGTGATTGTAAATTGGTTTCATAATAGTACTGAGTACACTGGATACTTTTTCTTCCTTTCTTGAGATATTTTACTAAGTAGGATATGTTCCAGCTCCATCCATGTAAAGGTAAAAGTGGCAAAGTCTCTATCTTTTTTTAAGGCTGCATGATATTCCATGGTATACATATACCACAATTTATTAATCCATTCATGGGATTTATGAAGAGGACTCCCCCGCCCCCAGGGACTTGGGCTTCTTCCATGGCTTGGCTATTGTGCATTGAGCTGCAATGAACAATCTGGTGCAAATATCTTTGTTATAAAGTGATATTTGGTCTTTTGGCTATCCACTCAGTAGAGGAATTGCAGGATCAAATGGCAGGTCTACTTTTAGATCCCTGAGTTTTCTCCATACTTCTTTCCAAAAGGGACATATTAGCTTGCACTCCCACTAACAGTGCAGAAGCATTCCCTTTTCTCCACATCCAAACCAACATCTGTAGTTTTGGGATTTTGTGATGTGAGCCACTCTTACTGGAGTTAGATAATTTCTCAAAGCGGTTTTGATTTGTAGTTCTCTGATGATTAAAGATGATGAGCATTTTTCATGTGTCTGTAGGCCACGCACCTATCTTCTTCAGAGAAGCTTCTATTCAAGTCCCTTGCCCACAATGAAATGGGATTACTTGTTCTTTTTTTATTAATAAGTTTTTTTCTCTGTGGCTTCTGGTTATCAAACCTTTGTCAGAAGCATAACCTGCAAATATCCTCTCCCATTCTGAGGGCCGTCTGCTTGCTTTACTTACTGTGTTCTTGGTTATGCAGAAGCTTTTTAGTTTAATCAGATCCCAGTAATGTATTTTTTGTGTTGCTTCAATTGCCTGGGGGGGAGGGGGGATCATCCTCATAAAGTATTGTCCCAGGCCATTTTCTTCAAGTGTTTCTCCTGCACTCTCTCCAAGAATCTTTATAGTTTCATGTCTTAAGTTTAAATCTTTTATCCAGTGAGAGTCAATTTTTGTTAATGGTGAAAGGTGTGGGTCCAGTTTCAGTCTTCTACAAGTCATCAGCCAATTCTCCCAGCACCATTTGTTAAATACAAATCTTTCCCCTAATTTATATTTTTGATGGCCTTATCAAAGATCAAATGATGATAAGTGTCTGGTTTCATTTCTTGGTTTTCAATTCTGTTCCATACATCTATCTCTCTATTTTTGTGCCAATACCATGCTGTTTTGATCACTATAGATTTATAGTATAGTCTGAAGTCTGGTAACATGATTCCTCCTGATTTGTTTTTATTTCTGAGTAATGTCTTGGCTATTCGAGGTTTTTTCTGGTTCCTTATTAAACAAAGTACTATTTTTTTAAGTTCTTTAAAGTACAACAGTGATGCTTTGATTGGTATTGCATTAAATTTGTAAATTGCTTTGGGTAATATGGACATTTTAACAATGTTGATTCTTTCCAGCAATGAGCATGGTATGTTTTTCCATTTGTTAATGTCTCCAGCTATTTCTTTTCTCTGAGTTTCATAATTCTCTTTATAGAGATCTTTCACATCCTTTGTTAGGTAAATTCCCAAATATTTCATCTTCTTTGGCATAGCTATAAAGGGAATAGAGTCCTTGACTGTTTTTTTTAGCTTAACTATTATTAGTATATATAAAAGTTACTAATTTGTGAGTATTGGTTTTATATCCTAAGATGCTACTGTATTCCTTGATCACTTCTAAGAGTTTTGTAGTTGAGTCCTTGGGGTTTTCCAGGTATAAAATCATATCATCTGCGAAGACTGAAAGTTTGATCTTCTCTGATCCTATTTATATACCCTTGATCACCTTCTCTTGCTTGATTGTGATGGCTAAGACTTCCATTACAATGTTAGAAAGCAGTGGAGACAATGGGCAACTTTGCTTAGTTTCTGATCTGAGTTGAAATGCTTTCAATTTTACTCCATTCAATATGATATTGGCTGTGGGTTTGCTGTAGATGGCCTACAGTTAAGAAAATCAGTTTAAGAAAATTCCCCTCTATACCTATTTTCTTCAGTGTTCTGATCATGAAAGAATGCTGGATATTGACAAAATATTTTTCTGCATTTATCAAGAGAATCACATGGTCTTTGTTTTTTAGTTTGTTTATGTGATGTATTATATTTATAGTTTTACGTATATTGAACCAAACTTGAGGCCCTGGGATAAAACCCATTTGGTCATGTTGCATAATTCATTTGATATGTTGCTGGATTCTGTTTGCTAGGATCTTATTGAATATTTTTACATCTATGTTCATTAAAGATATTGGTCTATAATTTTATTTTCTTGTTGAGACTTTTCCTGGTTTGGGGATCAGGGTGATATTTGCTTCATAGGATGTGTTGAGAAGTATTCCTTCTTTTTCAATGTTTTTGGAAAGGTTAAGTAATATAGGTACTAGTTCCTCTTTACAGGTTTGGTAGAATTCTGATGTAAAACCATCTGGTCCCGAGCTCTTCTTTTTTGGGAGATCTCTTACAGTTGATTCTATTTCAGTATTTGATATAGGTCTGTTCAGCATTTCCAATTCTTTCCAATTAAGTCTAGGAAGTTGGTGTGCTTCCAAGTATTGGTCAATTTCTTTCAGATCTTCATATTTCAGAATAAAGATTTTTGTAGTATTCATTAAGGATTCTTTGATTTTCTGAGGTGTCTTGTTATTTCACCTTTGTCATTTCTGATTGATGATATTAGGGACTTTACTTTTCTAATTTTGGTTAGGTTGGCTAAAAGTTTATCAATTTTGTTGAATTTTTCAACAAAGCAACTTCTTTTTTTTTTTTTTTTTTTTTTGA